GAAATGGAGCTCGTAGAGCAATACCGGAAAGGGTTGGAGAGGAGATTGTGAGTGTCAACAATAATGCTCACAAAACTTCATTTTGTCTTTTGTGTCGTTGATGATTACGGTATTATTTGTTTTGAGACTTTTTCAGCGAGCCTGTAGTGACCAGCTGAAACGTATATCGTCTGATATACGGTAACGTCTGTACGTCCCATCACCATTTAAACATACAGTAACTTATCGTGCATAGAAGCACAGGATATCGTATGATGCTTCATGGCACAATTTTTAATATCATGGCATATTTCACTCCAAGAACACATCAAGGACACGCAAAGAGAGAAAAGAGGGAATGTCTCAGCCAGCTGGGGGGCATGCATTCTCTGGAGGAAACACGATGTGTCAGCTACTGGTGATTGGACCATGGGGCATATCTTCGACGCCCAGCACTAGTACTAGGCTAGCTAGTACTCTAGTAGTAGTACTTCAAAAAGAAGTGTTACCTTCCCAAAAGAGGTGATCAGTCTTGCAAGGACCTACATCGTGCATCATCGAACCCTTGCCCCGACAATGAGACAAAATTGAAAATACTCCAACCATTTTGGTCAAGAGGAGATGAGCGAAGTAACAATTCCCTGTCATATCTTGGGGGGAAGACCTTAAAAAGTTTAGTAGAAATGATTGTTATATTTTTCTATACTTCGTTGTTTGGATGTGAGGTACTAGTGCATGTGCCCTTCTCAATTAATTGACACGTAGTATTCCAATAGATACCAAGATGGCTGCCGACCCGATACTTAGGAGAGAATATGTCTGGTTGATTCTAAGGGAAGAAGTGCCAAGAAAAAAGAACATAAAAATAAACGATTCACAGTCAACTAATATCTTATATTATACTGGGGTGTTATATTATACTATGGAGGCCTTCGGCTATGAAGTCATGCATTCTAGGAGCGAAACTTGAACAACGGTATCGCCACTCCACCACATCCCTGCTTTTCGTCGTGACAGAAGCCGCCACTAGTGTTCTGGGCTCAATCCAATTTTGGATTTAAACCAGAAGTTTTTTGTATCTCTGCTGGACCCAATGGTTCGCTGCAAAAGGCAAGATTGCAAACAGACTGTCATCGGTTTGACAACGATATCGGCCATCTGGCAGTGATCTTCTCAGCAGAGAACACAGACATCCAAGCAAAACAACGACCGGTATCAAATCAAAGCATCGATAGCCTCATGGACCAGCCATCACAGAACAGTGTTGATTGTTGAGTCAGGGGATGAAGAAGTGTTGTCGAAACTGGAGATGAAGAAGGAATGCAATACAGCATGTTCTTCACAAAAGAGAGCAAAAATAATGCTCCTGACGGTCCTTTGTCTTCATCATGGCCATGATAATATCAACAAGAACTCAACAGACGCCAACACAAAGAGGATCAACTAATATTGAATAACCCAATCTCGGCATGCCTTTTCTTTGCAGCATCGCTTCGTTTCTTCTCAAAGCGTATTCCATACGAAGAGCGGTCGTTGCTGCATCACTTCCCAGACGAGTATATGTGGTATGCAAAGGGAACTTGGATAATGATTCCTTTCGTGCCTAGCGCGATTGAAAAGGGAGACAAGCTAAAATGATACTTCACTGAAACATGATTTACAAGCCACTTTCGTGATGCAGCTTCTTTCACTGTCGTATCACGAATTTGTAGACAGCTATTGCATTCTTGTGCTTTGGTGGAACTAGAAAAGCGTATTACCGCGAATTAGAATCTCTGGAAGTTGGATTCGGTGAAAGATCCCATTCCTCCACGGGAGCGTTTCGACTGCCGACTTGCACTAAATCTGCGTCCAGCTATGCCTTGATCTGCTGACCAGCCAGCAGAGAGAGCATTACGGACGTTTGAAGCGCCAATTCCAGTTGCAGCGTTTGGAGATTGGGATTGTGCTTGTTTCGCTTGCTCCTTGATGGTCTTCCAATGGGAATCGTCTCTCTCAACACATCCACGAACAAAATTCTGGGCCTTCTCCAAACGGTCATTCGAGGACTCCAGCCTATCCCGTAGTGTTTCAAGAGTTGTCAAGATATCCGATATTTGCGATGGCGTCACGTCGCGCGAGCAACAGGGCGGAACAGCAATTTTGAACTGTTGCGACTTTTGGCAAAGCTTGCCGTTCAAAACGCGTGCATATATGCAAGATATGATGATTTGTTCGATCCCTCTTCCGTTATCTCTATCGATGCCCAGAGCTTCTCCAAGCGAGCTATAGCTCAGGAGAGAGACCCCATTCTTGCACGCCTCCTGAACAGTCGTTAATACAGTAAGCTGACGGAGTTTTGACAATTGCAGGTCATTCAAAGAGAGGTATTTGTCTTGGTTTTGAGAGAAATCCTGATAGGCCCCATACGAAAACAAATCCAACGTTTCAAGTAGTTGGGAGTCTTCAGATTTGACCTTTACAATGGCTTTTAGTTGATCAAATCCGCAGAAAATTTGAGGATGAGAAAGTACTTTCAAGACTAATGCACGCAGAGTGCTTGGGCTTGATTGTTCCACTGCCTCCAGAAATTGCACAAGCGCTCCGCTTTCATCCAACAAAAGTTCTTCCATTTCTAACAAGCTGTTGAAGTTCGGAGTTTCCGATTGGCCAAACGTTCCAGCAAGTAGCTACCTGTACCGGTACCGCTATGAGTATGATCA